GGGAGGGGGCGGTTAGTCGGGAAGATGCTGTCCTACAGGAAACAGCTAGGGCGCTAAACAAACATCCAAACACCAGACCCATGGTGGCTGAGTAGATGGCCGCTGCTGGTGACCTGTAGGACAGTAGAACTGCCTCACAGCATTTCCAAGATTTTGCTGAAGCAGGCAGCCTCATCTTTCTCCCTGTAGAGTTGGACAGTCCAACTTATGGTTAGCAGTTGAAGCCTTCAGCCACCATCAGAGCTCCTGGCCAGGGTGCTAGTCACCTCATAAGTGGCCCCCAGGTCCTCCACAGTGAAAGCTGCAGTCAGTGAGAGCATGAGCAGAAAACACTGACAGCCACCTCAGCACACAGACTTCCAACATGTCAAGTCTCATGCCAAGCAGTTTCCTGTGTTTTCCTGTCTGTCAATTAAAATGTGATCATTGCTGTGAACCACAGCTGCTATGGCCCTTGGTGCCCCCAGGAGCTTGTCGGACAGCAGAACGGGCAAGCCTTTCCTGGTCATGGATCCAATTCCTACCAGAGAGGAGGGGAAAGGATAGCCAGAGGCTACAGGGTATGGCTGGGTTAAAGTCATAAGAAGACCTCCTGGAAGAGACGGGCTGCTGTAAACAGTGTCTCCCCATTCTCCACCCATGACCTTTGTACTTCGGGCTCCTGTCATCGCTGACTCACCCCTACTCCCACCTCCCCCTCACCAACTTCCTGGCAGCGGGTGAAAGTGCTGGCCAGTGGGAGGCTGGGAATCCACAGCAGGCCCAGCGCAGCTCTGATCACCCTAGAGGACCCAGAGACCCTTCTTCCTCGGAGTGCAAGGGTTGGAGGGGAAGGCCAGCTCAGGGGCACAACCTCCTCTGCATTCCTAGTCTCTGTAGTCTAAGGGGCTGTGTTAGGAAGTAAGTTGGCCCTGGGCATGCAGCCAGTGGTCTTTGTAGGAGTGATAGTAACAGGACATCCTTAGGGGCCTGGATCCCCATCAGCTTCCCTCTGAAGTGAGCACTGGAGGCACTTGTGCTAAACAGAGATGCTAGAGGCTTTTTCCCTAGTGTGACTGGGCCCAGTCACCTAATCCCGTATCTGCACAAGGACCTAGTGGGGCCCACATCCAGGGGCAAGGGACCAGCTGATTGGGGCGGGAGGAGGGAGAGGCCTCTCCATGAGACTGGGCAGGACTAAGGTGTTGATTCCCTCAAGGTCCTTATTGGGCACTCTGTGCAGGGATGGTGCTAGCCTCTGGGAGACCAGCCAGCCCTCACCAAGGCCTCAACTAGGATTGCTCCCAGGAGGCATGGCACCCAGGGTCCCAGCTGCCACCACCAACCACCTCCTGAGTCCACAGTGCCGTGAGGAAATAGGGAGCCTTGGGTGGGGCAGACCCCTCCTCATTCCTCATCCTTCCCAGCCCCTGAAAGCTGATAGCCGTGGGTCCCTGCCACCGCCCAGGGAGCGTGAAATGGGGTGTGCCGCAGGACAGCCATCACAGATCCTCCTGCTTCTGGGTCCTTGCCCTTCTTTCCTGCCTGCAGCCTCTGCTCCCTGGTTAGCTCAAGGGTAGTCTCTGGGTCGTCTCCACAGGGGCCTAGCCCCATGTGTCTTGGGCCCTGCTGGCCTCTCTTACCCAGCCAGGAGATGGCTATCCTGGGTTCAACTCATGCCAGTCCAGGAATGGGAATCAGAGTGGTCCTCTTGAGCCTGGCCCCTGCAGCCTGACTTTCTGGCCCAGAATGAGGAAAACTGCATAAGCAACAGAGAGGCCTATCAGCCAACTGGACAAGCCCTGAGGCCGGACGGGAGCACCCTTGACAGGGACCAGTCCTGTTCTTTGGTCTCACTCCCTGACTCAGCACTTGGACCTCAAGGTGGACCTCAAGGTGCCTGCATTCATCCTTTCTTCTCTCCTCCCACTCCAACTCATTCCTGCCAAAGCCCCTGCCCTACCCAGGCAGCCACTTGGGCTCATCTCCTGGGCCTGTTGTAGTGGCTCCAGGCTGGAGAGGCAGCTGAAGTTCAAGTTAGGGGCTAAGATTTTTGGTGGTTGGTTTTGTTTTTTGACACAGTTGTTTTTGGTTTGTTTGGGTTTTTTTTAAGTTCCTCTGATACCTAGATTTGGAAGCTCTGGTGGCCTAGTGGCAAGAAGCTGCACTGCAATCCTGAAGGTGTGCAGTTCAAATCCACCAGCTGCTCCATGGGAGAAGGATGGATAGTCTCGGGTCAGCTATGGATCGGTTCTGACTCATAGTACACAACACAGCACTGATACCTAGAAGATGGTGACAAGGCTGGTGGGGGTGACGCGTCCTCCTCTACTTGGAGCTCTTAAGTGCCTTGCCTCTAGGACAAGAGAAAAGAGCTGGGTGGGAAGGGGCCGAGCCCTTTCCTGAGGCTGAGTCCCAGGCTGATGGCTCTGAGGGAAGGGGAAGGGGATTAGGCCTAGCTTAGCTTAGACAATGTGGCAGGACTGCGCCTGTTCCCTGCAGGCCCCCTCCCCACCCCAACTCACGGTGGGGCTTGTGCCAGATAGAGCTGAGATGTTGGGGGCAGGTGAGGAGGGAAGCAGCTGCCTGGGGCCCAGAGGCTGTGGGGCGGATCCTGTTCCCTCTCCCTCAGCACCCCACTATTTAGGCCCTCAGGCCTTGCCACCCACCCTAAGCTGGAAATCAGGCCAGCTCAAGGGATTCTGGGCAGTCAGACTGACATCCCAGGGCCCCCACCCCGCACACTCACCCTCTGGGCCAGCATTCTTCCCAGCCGCCCCTCCTAGCCCTTTGCTGGACTCCCAGACAGCCCTCCACCCAGCTCTCGAGTGGGCTTAGGGACTGGAGGGGTCCTGTTCAAAGGGGAGATTTCTGGGGGTCTCTGGTTCCTCTGCCACCAGGTGACGCTTCTATTTTGTTCTCACCGCCACCTTCCACAACTATAGTCCCTTCCCAGCTCACCTTGGCAATCTCACTCCAATGAAGTCCTAGAAGGTTCAGAGGATCCTTCTGGCCATTCCTCACCTCGGCCACCAGGTGTCAGACTTTGTCTAACTGGAAGGAAACTCCTTAACTGTTTATACCCCAACAGGCCAGAGCTCAGAGCAAGTTGGGGCAGGGCTATGGGTGACCTCTGGCCATGGGTGACAGAGGGACATGATGATGATGAATGAGTGAAAAAAAGCTGGACCCAGAGCTTTTTCACAGGCCCTCCCTCACTGTCCCTACTCTACTGACAAGGGCTTTGTGCCCTGCTGGGAAATTGGGGAACCAAGCTGAGTCAGGGAGCTTGGAGACTGAAGGGACAAAGGCAGGGACAGTTGTGGCTCCAAAGGAGAAAGGAGGAGGCTGAGAGCGTGTCGCCCATCGGAGTGCTCAGGGCCCTGAATCACTGGCCTGCGCCCTCGAGGTTAGGAGAGCAGAGCCTGACTTGGCCCATTTTAGACCATTGAGAGAGAGAGAGAGAGAGAGAGAGAGAGTGTGTGTGTGTGTGTGTTTTATGATGAGTGCTCAAATGAGTCCCCTCATTCTGAGGATGTTCCTGAGCCCTGCGTGTTAGACTAGTCTTTATAGAGAAGGGAAGCTGGCAGTGTCATCAAACCCACCTCCATGTTCCATCTTACCCAGTCCACCAGAGTTGCCGTCCTCACTGAGCTGACCCCCAGGTGCATTTCAATACACCCCAAATAACCATGTAACTCTAATAATCTCCAGTACATATGACCCAGAGAAAGCACACAGGCCCTGTCACCTTCATGCCTGTTCTCCAGACCCCTCCTGAGAAGAGGATTCTGATAGCATATTAGATGCCGTCGAGTACGACCCATAGTAACCCTATAAAGACCAGATCTGAACCCTCTCCTATCCTATACCGTCTTCACACTGCCTAATATATCTGAACCCATTGTGGCAGTCACCGTGTCAATCCACCTGACTGAAGGTCTTCCTCTCTTTTGCTAACCCTCTACCTTTCTGAGCATTATGTCCCTCCCCAAGGAATAGCCCCTTCTAGCAACATGCCAGAAATAGATGAGCCAAAACTTCATCTTTGCCCCCAAAGAGCTCTCTGGCTGCCCCCTCTCAAAGACACATTTGTTTGTTCTTTTGGCAGTCCATGGGATGTTCAGTATTTTTCTCCAGCACTACACTTCAAAGGCATCAATTCATTTCCGGTCATCCTTATTCATTGTCCGGCTCTCAGATGCGTAGCAAACGATTGAAAAGACCATGGCCTGAATCAGATGCACCTTAGTCCTCACACTGACATCATTACTCCTCAATAATTTG